CTTTGTGCTAACTCTTTCATCAAAACAGTAATTATATATTCATTGGGTGGGGGCTCAGTCAGGATATAGAATGTTCTTATGTTGAAACAGTTTGGGAACCTGTGTTAAATGACAATATAATGCTATCTCTGTATTATATATAAGATTATTTTGTATATTTGAACTAACTTTACCTACTTACTGTATGATTCATTTTATTTATTATTTTGCATCTTCATCTTTGTTTTAGATGTATTACTGGTAATGTCCTGCTACTTGACTCCAGCTTGTCATCTCAGATGTCAGGCTCCTCTAAACAGAGCAGTTTAATGGGTTTTTATTGGTCACACTAGGGTAGATTGTGGAACGTTTTGCATACACACAGTTATACTGATGTTGTTTAGCCCACATTAAATCTATCTAGTGGTTAAAGATGAGGCCTTATGCATCAGTTGGTACATAAGAGGATTAACCTATGATCCCGGCACCATTTTTAAATTCCTTTCTGTGTATGTACTGTGTTACATTCAAAATTTAATTAAACCATTTTATTATCAATATATGTCAATGAAATTAACATTCTAATGTATCTTATAATTTGAATTTTATGTTATCCGAGTTATAATTCCTTTACTTCAAAGGAAACCTTTAAAAAAATACTTAAAACTTCAGTTTTTGTGTCACCTGACCCACGAGCTATTGAAAATACTTCTACAGAGGTTCATCATTAGACACATAAGCTGGAAGTGTACATATACATGTATACTTAAACCATGCTTGTTTGACCTACTTACCATATGATACCAAAGTCTAAAAGCTGCTTTATCTGGAAAACCTATACATTTTTCCACCCTTAATGGGTACCATGCCCACCTTCTATACTTTGCCTTGAGACCTCCAATGTACATGTAGTTTATAGAAAACAGTATATACACTCGTTAGGAAGAGTATGGTTAATTTGAAATTGGCGAGCAGTTTTCCTCACAGTATACACGTTACTGCTGTCAGTATTCTCGTCAGCTTGATTGACTATAGCAATTATAGTGGTTTCTTACCTAAATATGCTATAGTTAGAGAGACAGTTAAATTGTATTTAGGTCTTATTATTATATTTTAGTTAATTACATATTATTTGTGTTTAAAAAATAATACTTGAAAGGTTTAATGATTTTTATAAGTTTAAGTTCTTGTTGCCTGGATTGAATAAGTGAATAATCAAGATGGTGTCATTCACATGAGCAATGCATTAGTGTAACGAGTGTTTGTCCAGGTGTCGTCGTATAATAGTAATAAAGCCCAGAGGGGACCAGTTTACGTATCCAGTATAAATAATAAAAGACAAAAAATTGAAAAGGAAAATTAAAAATAAACGATAAGTGAACAGATAAAGACATGAAATTATTCAAATTAACCCGTTGAGTGCACAGTTAGATTTTGGGCGGGAGTTCAAAAAGTGTCAATTATTCACTACAAAATGAAATGTAGAATTTGACTTTTTTTTAGTATTTCTCAATATCAAAATACACTAGTCACACTTTTGTTCGGTGATGTATGCATGCGTGCAGTATTAGTATTTTCGATATCAAAATACACTAGTCACACTTTTGTTCAGTGATGTACGCATGCATGCGTGCGGTATTAGTATATTCAATATCAAAATACACTAGTCACTCTTTTGTTCAGTGATGTATGCATGCGTGTGGTATTAAGCCGAGAAGGACGTGTGAGTATCCCCACTGTCGCACCATGAGGAAAAGTTTTTGTTGAATCGTGCGGTAAATCTGCTTGTTGCTCCAAACGGCTATAAATGTCAAGTCAAATAAATCCAATTATAGCATCCAAAGGGTTAAAAAAAACAAGTTTCAAAGGACTTCTACGATGAGGTATATACATATTCCAATTTCTTAATTTTAAACATTTCAGTGTATGTTGATGATAATAAGTATAGTTAGTGATATAGTAGAGAATCACTAGAGATCACTAATTATAAAATGCTTATTCCCTTTGTCACTCAACAATATACATCATTGCTTAGCAACAAAACACCTGATTGTTCTTAGGCCAACTATGGTGTTTATGTTGAATATTCAATACCCATGTTGATGTTAGAAAGATTTGTTTTTTTATTCTTTATTGTTTGATACCTTCAGTGCTATAACAGTAAAATAGTTTAATTCAGAAATTTTATGACACTGAGTTGTAGCCAAAAGCAAAATAAAATTTATCGAGTAGTGTTTCAGCTAAGCCTTATGTTAAGTTTATGCATTAGGACTAATGCTTAAATTAGACTACAAATAAGCCTACTATTACTAACTTAAAACTATTTAAATGTAATGTTAATTAATAAATATTCTTTTGGTATTTTAACACATATATTACCTACTTTGCCTTAAAACATAAAGAAAAATTAACATTTATTACTTCCAAACATCTTTTATTATCTGTACTTTCAAAAGAGTTGAAAATATGTGTCAGAATGTTCATAATGTGTTTTCTACTTCCTGACTTGGAATACAGTGAAAAGGCTCAAGAGTGCTATTTAAGTATCTTTCAGAGTTCACACATACTTTTGTTCGCAGTAACATTTAATTTTTCTACATGGTTTAAAGAATTACTTCGAGACTGATGAAATAAGTGAAGAGTAGGGGCATGTTGTAGGTATAGACAAATTCGTTTTAGTTAAATTCTATAATTTTCGTTAATCATTCAACAATGGTTCCCATCATTTTTTACAGGCTATTATACTTGTTACAACAATGAAATGTGAAAACTGTAAGATAATAAATAGTATTTTTATACTTCATATAAAAATCACCTTGCAGGTGAACTATTCAGAGTCCAAGTGCAAATAACTACATTATATAATGAATTTTTTCATTAAAAATTGTAGAAAAAAATAAAAATTAAATATTTTATTTTCCTGAAAATACAAAATTTTAAGAAAATTATTGTCAAATTTAAAACAATTCCATCAACTACTTTTATTTTTGTAACAAAATATGACCTGATAGAGAAGCAGGGACTAATAGGGTTAAGCAAGTACTTAAAGCTGACAGCTGGTGTATGTGCGTACCAAAGTATGGTACAACATACTACATTATTTCTTAAAATAGATAGTTTTATTTTTTTATTTACCATACTTTTATTATAGATTGTTTTGTATCATTAGCTTAGTATATGGACTTAGGACCAACCTAGATCTCACGAGCCAGCAAAACTTGTTAACATCAACTGATGAGACAATACATTCTACTCTTTAACATAAAAAAGTACTTTAATTAGCTATGCTCATTAATACGTTGATTTTTACTTTTTCTCTAAATACGGTACTTGCAAGTGAAATATTAATTAACTCATAATAATTTGGACTTCAAAAATAACTTTTCTATAAAAAAAACAAAAACACAAAGAGCCTACCACCATCTTTGATAACTCTATATAATTCTTTCTGTATTGTTAATTAAATACTGTCTGAACATATATAACTCACCTGATTCTCTTTTATTGTGTGTTTGTTGAATACCAGTTCTGGCAGGATCGTTATCAGCCATCGTAACATACCAGGCCATTGCAGCTAAAGGAAAAATATTTTCAATAAAAAGAAAAAACAGAAATAAAAAGGTGATTTATTTCACTTTACAAAATTTATTGCACAATAAAGGTTCTGTAAAATAGTATATATATATAGTCAGAGAAATGTTTCGAAAAACCCATGTTATCAACTCAAAACCATCACAATAAATTATCTAACATTTATTTAAAGAATACCTTTAACATATTTATATTATTATAATGTCATTTTTCATTTTATTACAGTAATGCACTGATATTCAAATTTACTATATGAAGTTTGATAATACAAGACGCGAACACACACACAGCACACAACAAATAAAACACATGTATAACTCCAACTATTTTACTCAAATTGATATAGAACAAAACATTTGAATCATTTGACTTCAAGAAAACATACAGGAATAAATTAGAGCTGGAAAAATGGGTTCATTTCTCTCTTGAGCTGTCTCCACTAATATTCTCAAAGGACCTTGTGGACACAACACAGCAATCAGATCTGGAAGAACAAATATCCAATTATTTAATCATGAACAAGAAATATTATCACTATTATACTATATTCTACAAGAAAACAATATTATTTTTTTTTTTATAAACAGCAAAACATAAACAATATATCTTTATTAGATTAAAAAGAAGACACTCCTTAAAATAAAAAATATAAGTCATAAAATATTCATCCATGCATTTGGATGGTTTAGAACATATGGTTTAATAACTACACCATAAAAATATTTGTGATTTATTAGTTATTCATCACTTACCAATTTATGAAAGTGTTTTACTTAAAACAAAATTCTCCATCTTACACTTCAGTGATTGATGCAAATCCAGCTTTATGATGGCTAATAATTGCCCCAAATCCTACTAAACTCCCTGACTTTGCCAGTTACTTTCAAAATACATTTACATACACAATACGTACATAAACACAAACAAATCATGGATCAAAGCAGACCTCTATGGAAATTCTAGTTTAAAACCAATTGCTTGTGAGATAGCAAATGTCAAACAAAAAAAAAAATAAATTACTTGAGATGTACAGTCCCAATAACATGATGAAAACTACTGCATAAGACTGAAATAATTAAGTATATATACACAAGCCTACAAACAGTTGTAAGTCTTTCTCATGAGTTTACTATCACAGCCTAGCAATCATTCCTAACTGAAGAAAGCTATTTGGGTTTATCCTCGAGAACTACAGCATAAGACTGAAATAATTAAGTATATATACACAAGCCTACAAATAGTTGTGAGTCTTTCTCATGAGTTTACTATCACAGCCTAGCAATCATTCCTAACTGAAGAAAGCTATTTGGGTTTATCCTCGAGAACTACAGCATAAGACTGAAATAATTAAGTATATATACACAAGCCTACAAACAGTTGTAAGTCTTTCTCATGAGTTTACTATCACAGCCTAGCAATCATTCCTAACTGAAGAAAGCTATTTGGGTAATTCCTCGAGAAACCTTAAATGCTACATTGTGTAACATCATTGACAGGATGGATGTAACAATTGAAAATAATGGTGCCAACATTAAACAACTGCTAAGGTACCAATTTTAGAAATGCACATTTCAGGATCCTTTTACGTGTACGTAACGTATTTCATCTATACAATACACCCCCCCCCCCCTACAGACTATTCCAAACACCCACTGACTTTATAACTACCCTGTATAAGTAGAGTAAAATATCATTAAACATTTGTCTAGCCATTTTTCACATTTAACT